GGAAAAGGCAGAAGGCAAGAAATGGCAGTTGGGTCTGTAACACTGTACATAGAATTTCAGAATATTTTTTTGTCTAGGCATCAAGCATTCATAAGAGATATAGTTCTATAATAAGAAGTGCATTTTAATAGAACAAACACAAAGTTATAATGTTGAAAGATATTACACCACAATGATATCAGAATAATACAAAAAGACAACCAGTGAAACAGTGAAATTAGGAAAAGACAGACAGATAGATAGATAGATAGATAGATAGATAGATAGAAAGATAGAACTAGCTACAATAAACAAAAGATATTCATGCAATGACTGACTGAAGTTGCAAAGTCCACAACAAAAATACAGGCCTGTTCAATATAACAATAATGTCTTTATACATGGTTTCACATTACTATATTGGGTACTATTCTATCAAACTCATCAATTGTACCTACATTATAAATTAAATTTTATCTAACACCTGAACAGGCAAACTCTTTTTTCAGTGAAATAGTACAAATCTTAAAAGAAACCAAAGTAGGCCTTACCATCAATCTTGAAACATCAGACTGTGGGACATTGAGTTTATTTAAAGAAGGCTTCCACATCTAATCTCCTTTATTTGCTGATTTAGAATCTAGAACCGGTCGGTAGTCAACTTCCTTTCTAATGTCATTGAGATTGCTTCATGAGGTGCCTGTTTAGTGAAGTAATTATGCTATAATACGTTGTGATAGAAGCAGGTATTTATGTCTTATATATATTTACAGCTCTAAAGTTGATGTCCTGGTCTATTGCTTTTAGTCAGTGATAGAAATATTTTCACAATAGTATAATTGTTCACAATATACTTACTTCCTCAAGATGAAGCAGACATACGTGCATACCCAAGTAAAAAAAAAAAAAAAGATAGGGGGTAATATAAAAGAGATGGACAGCAAATACTAGGAAGTTAAATTCAGGATCAGAGTAAATTAACATTGCATGGAGAGGAAGAAAAATGGTGTACTTCAGAAAACAACAATGTCAACAGGGAAGGAATAAGACTTAAATATTCCGCAGAGTCAAGAAATTTGAGGAATCGCCCAACACAATTCACATTAAAGGGACATTCCATGCTACATAACCACTACAGCACATGAGTGAGTGCTCTGGCACCCTCCTATGTTATGAGTCAAACCCTTTGCCAATGGTTTGACAACTTACCTGGGGTCACCAGTCACCTCTTCAATGAGAGCCAGGAGCTCTCTGTATTGAGCTAAGCCTGGCAGTACAGGGGTTAGTTCACTAGCTTGGAGAGATCAGATAATTGTCTCGGATCCTGGCCCTGCCCAACAGGGTTTAGCTCATGAGCGATAACTGGAGTTCCATGCAGGAGCATCTGGCTCTCAGTAGAGGAATTCCCACAGGTAAGTTGTCAACCTGACGCAAACAGTTTGAATGCTTACATTGGTATATGGTGGTGGGGGTTGTCAGGGCACTCCTAGAGACACAACCACTACTACTCATTTAATAGTATTTATTCCATAGTGTTAGAAGAGAATCTGACACGTGAAGTGCTTACAGGAACAAAATTTGCAATGATGATTCAAATAATTAGTTGTATGACTATCCAGAGGTAGACCAATCATAGGAGCTTACATGAAAATATTTATATATAATGTACTCTTGAAGCGTTTATTACCTGAAACCTGGGACAAAACTGTCAACACTGAGCATAGCAAATAAATGTCAGGTGTCAGGAGGCTAGAAATACCAATACTGAAGTAACCAACATGAAAACCTTTTTTTGGGAAATTAAATTGTGTAGAGGGACCTTGGGGCAGTGACCACAATTTGCCATGGGAAAGCATGTACACAGGAAAGAGGTAGCATTAATCCCTTCAGGACATTAGGACATTCCATGGCTTTAGAACTGTTAGGATAGCATTGAACATCTTGGCATTTTGGTGTGAGCATCTAGGGAGTTCACCTATGTCAGTTAGGGCCATATTAAGTGGTCCTAGACCAGGGGTTCTCAACCCAGTCCTCAAGGACCCCCGAACTGTCCAGGATTTAGGGATGGACTGGTAGGGGGTCCTTGAGGACTGGGTTGAGAACCCCTGTCCTAGACTGATTGAAGAGCTGTATGCAGTGATCCAAGAGAGCTTCATACAACCATTTAAATGTATTTAAATCCTTCTGACTTATTGATCACGCTCAAATGCAGTAATTCTCTAGATGCCCACATTTAGATGGGTGAACCCCCTTAACTTCTGAAAAAAACTTGACAAGGTCTCCCTATGTGCCTCGCTACCTACTGTGACTAGCACTGAGTTCTGCCAGACACCAATCACAATTTGACAGCAGGAACAGCATGCTAGAGCTGCAGCATGAGAGGTAGATTTCCTGTCTGAGCTGGGAAATCTGATCTCTCTGCTGATGTCAGTGCTGACATTAGCAGAGGGAATTCCTCTGAGTTAGGGTTAGTGTTAGAGTTAGAATTAGACTAGAGTTAGGTGTATGGTTACAATTAATGTTAATGTAAGGTAAGGGTTAATGATGGATTAGTGTTAATGCTGTTTTATGGTTGTGGATAGTGCAGGGTTAAAGTTAGGATAGGTGCACAGTTAGAGTTAGCATAAGCACAGGGCTAGTGATAGAGTTGATATAGCACTAACTATCAACAATTATTTTAGATACTAGACATATGAGACATTTAAAATGCATTAGGACTGATATTTGAATCTATTAAGAGTTATTTTTTGTTATTTGCACTTATTCTATAAAAATTATTATAAACAAAACTGTGGAAAACTTTCTAAAAATGTTTAACAATTTATTCATACCAAGTGTTTTTGGTATACATATAGGATATTAAAAGAAAACTATTTCAGTCATGAATATGCAATATTTATTGATGCCTTTAATTATGTTGAGACAAACCATAATGCAAGTTCTAGGTTTTGCTTTACTTCAGAAGTTGGTAAATTGCCTCCGTCAAGGGCTATGCAATCAACACAAACATGTTCTTGCTTTCTGTGTTATTTGTCTCTGTGTGTCACCAAGCTGCCCAGATTGCTCACACGTTTTCATCAAATTTGGCAAGGGAAAGTATGCATTGGTGGCTATGTATAAAAGGTGTTGTTTTCTGAAAAGTGATCTAAACAATTAAAATTGGAGTAGTCACCATGGAAACAACTAGAACCAGCACATCTTATTGGTGACTCCTTCCCTTATTCATGTTTGCACCAGTTTTCAGGACACAACATGTTTTATATATAAGCCCTATTGTTTCCATAAGGTAAGGTGTGTGAATAATGCTCTCATGACACATATAACACATATATATTGATGTATACACTGCTGAAAATATGTGTCTTTTTGTCTGTCTATATATATGATTGTGTGTGCTTGAGTAGACAATACTTAATATAAAGACTGCAATGTTGTCCCTGGAAGAATAACTTTGTATCCATGGTTATATTCAACTCTTTAATGAGTAGGATTGTATATTGATAATATGTTAGTTATATATGCTACTAACAAAAGAATATATAATTGGTTAATTCATATACCTGTTTCTTAACTGTAATATTTGTGTTACTGAGCTGTTTTTCCCTAGGAATAGAAGTATATTTGGTGTGGTGAAAAAAAACATGATATAACCAGCAGGACTAACTAAAATATATACCAACTTAGTTTTGAAGAAAACACCTTAGAACTCCATTCAGGGTCTGTGTACATCTGAGACAAAGACACTTATGTTGTATCATGTCATTGTTATGTAGCCCATGGATCAGCGCAGCTAAGAGGAATAGGCCTTGACAGAGCCAGGAGGTAGTCATAGCAGCCACAGAGAGTTAGTGACAGCTAGCATGCTGGGTAGGGCGGAGCCATAAGGGGAGTATTTATACCGGCCATTATATGAAGTGGCCATTTTTACTGAACCTAAGCTTACCTGTCAGTTGTGAAAGCTGCCTGCCCTGGAGGGAGAAGGCAGCAGCATGGAGGCAGCATAGAAGAACAGAGGCAGCATGGAGGTACAGGAGAGGCTGGAGTGAGCTGCTGCTGCATGCTCACTCCCATCAGCCTCAGACAGAACTCCAAGCAAGCCACCATCCTGGACATAAAGGTTGTGGCAGAATCGTGGCTGGTGGCTGCAGGAGCAGCTGGGGGGCCCCCAAGCACGTCTGCTCCCCCTCCCCACGCGGCGATGGAACGGAGGCCAGCAAGGAGGGCGAGGCCGCCCCAGCGGCAGCCTGGGAGTGACATCGTTAGTTCGGCGGCCCAAGAGCCTGTCAGGAGGCGGCAAGGGGAAGGCTGAAAATGAGGCGGAAAGCAGGCAGGAGTTGGAGGGCGGCTGGCGCCGTATGTTCGACGCGGCGCCGGTCAGGCAAGGTGGCAGGCCAGGATGAGGCCGCACTGGAAGAGCGCCCCCTGCCATAAGGTGGGGGGCGGGAAAGCACAAAGGACAGCGGATTCCAGCATGACATGATGGCTGCCAGGCAGGGAGAGCAGCAAGAGGCGTCCCGGTGAGTCTGCCCCTGGTGGCATACCTGAGGGACGGGGGGAATGATGCAAGGGGCCAGCAGTGTAAAAGCGGTCCCCCCCCCCAATGGGCAGGCGGGGGGGGGTCCAGGTCGGCAGGACACAGACGGAGGCGGCCCTGGATGGGGCCAGGGTCAGGTCAGAGGTGAAGGAAGGGGATAGTGAAAGCAGCAGGCGGAGTCTTCACAGGCGCAGCAGAGCAGCTATGGAGGGGAAGGCCAGCAACCAGGAGTAATTAAAAGGGGCCACAAGTGGATGAGGCGGCTGGGGAGAGGCCAGGTACTGCAAGCAGAGGGCAGAAGTGAGGACATGGACGGGTGGAAATGGACGTAAGGCACAGAGGCAAGCGGGAGCCCCCTGGGGGGCGTTCTCAGGAGCAGGAACACAGGAGGAGCATCAGCAGGTGTGAGTATGGGAGGGAGCAGCGCTACGACAATGACAGGCACAGCAGCAGCGGGAGGTCGGATGAGGGCTGGAGGAGCAGGTCGAGGAGTGTTACTCCTACGGGCTTGAGGCGGGACCAGCGCGGACAGGAGTCGGCATCCACCGGATACTCCAGAGCCTGGCAAGGTGGATGGAAGGACAGCGCAGACGGGGGTTCGGGCGGTGAGTCAATAAACACACCACACTTTTTTAAATTGCATAAATCATTTTAGAGTCATGCCGAAGGGTGAGGTCACCAGAGCGCAGTCGGGAGGCCGAAGTAAGGGTGGTGGTGACGGCGTGCCGGGGAAGGGGAATACGGTGTACCGGTACCGGGGACATCTGACGGGGCAGGAGAACAGTTAGATGTGTGGCAATATTCCAGGCGTGGTGCAACAAAATGGGCACGTGTCCTTCGCGGGGACATTGGGGGGCACTTTAAGGTGGAGGATAAAATTTGATAAAGGGGATTTAAAAAAAAAAAAAAATTCCTGTCTTCTGCTCGAGGAGTTCATTGATTTAAAAGGGGTGGTTCCTAATGATAGTGCAGGAAATGCGCTCTTTCCGGGGGCTGACGGCGCACCCCCAGGAGGTGCTGTGCTGGCTGGACAGAAGAAAGGTCAGTACAACTGGGGACCGTCGGGTAGGCTTCGATACGGGTGTTCCGGAGGCGGTGGGAGTCACGGTGTCAACTGACGCGTCAAGAAAAGAAAACCTAAGGCAGGAAGGGTACTCGGCGGGGTTTCAGAAAGTGGATGTTGGAGTGGGTTGCGGCAGTAAGCCTCCCATAAAGGGCTAGTTTTATGGCTGGGATTGTTGAGGGGGTTTACGCTATTCCATTCAAAGTCGAGGGACCAGGAAAAGTGGTGGGCGAATATCAAGTCCGTGGGGGAACTTTGGTTCGCAAGTGGTCACGCGAGGAAGCCCAATTGTGGGGATGGCAGGTCCGTTACATCCCCACCATTAGCGGATCTGTGGGTGTCTCCATGGGGGGTGGTCCCCTAGAAAGGGGCAGGCAAATTCCGTCCGATACAAAACTTATCGCACCCGAAAGGGGCATCGGTAAATGAGGACATCGTTGCGGAATTGTTCTGTATCGTTGGCATCATTCGGCCTTGCCGTCGAGTTGGTTCGGGAACAGGACGCGTTCGATTTTTGGCGACTCTTCCATCTTTTGGGTTGCATGTTTGCAAGTTCCTATTGGTAACCTCTAGTTGCCAGGGGGCAGTTCCATTTCATGTTCCTACTTTGGGAAGTTGGATCCGTCTGGGAGTGGGAGGTGAAAGAGGAATCAGGAAGGGGTTCCTTAGTACATTATCTGTAAGATAGCTTGCTGTGTGGGCTCGGCTGGGCCGGGCCGTTGTGGACATACCTTACGGTCGCGGGAATCCTACCGCATGTCTTGGGCTGGAAATTGTTTCGGTGGTAGGAGAGTGTCGATTGCCTGGGGTTCAGTTGACTGCACTTCGGGAGTTCAGGCTGAAGGTTCGCAGGTCCAAGAAGGTCACGCTGAGAAATCGCAGTTGTTCATAAGGCAGTTTCAAGTTGTATGTTGGGTTAGTCGCGAGGACTGGGTCGGTAGCCATTTCATGGCGAAGGCTACTTGTGGAGCCTTTGCGGGTGGTATCGAGTTGTTCACGGATGCCTCTGGGAACATAGATTCCGGGGCATACCTGGAAGGCAGGTGGTGCGCGGAGCGGTGGCGGGAGGCATGAAAGGTAAGTCCTCTTATTCGAAGTTGGCATCTTTTGAGTTATTTCCATTGGGAGTGGCTGTGGCTCTAAAAGGTGAAGGATTAAGGGATGAAAAGTCATAATTCACGCACAATACGGCGGGGTTCATGTGGTTTACCATCCAGCTGGGTCCTCGGTTCAGGAGGTACGCCGATGGCGGCGATTCGCATCACTGTTCAGGTATTGGGTGCAGGTACACCACGTGCGTGGTTGGCGGAAGGTAGGGGCTGGTTACTTGGCTCGTGCACAAGGGGACAAGCTACGAATGGCGGCCCCAGGGGGCGTGGGAGGAGGGACAGTCCGGTCTGGAGGAAATGTGGCAGCTCGAGACGCCATGCTTGGAGAATCGATACGGAATCCCATGGCACCAGGCACAGGGACTGCTTAGGTGAAGGTTTGGGACATGTGGGACAAGGCAGTTGGTTTTACTGGGGGGTCCCAGTCAAAGGAGGGGCGAAGGGATACCTTTCTGTGGTTCCTAAGCCGTTTGTTCGTTCAGCGTTAGCTCCATCAGCAATGGACAGGAGCATAGCGGCATTGTCGTTAGGGTTCAAACTGACCGATTGGGAGGAAGTGATGGAACGTTGTCACTTCCGTCAGGCTTCGCGGGTCTTACGGAGAAGTATGAAATATGTCGGTGCCGGGCGGCTGGTTTCCTTGGGTAACGCAACGCCTGGTGGTGTGTTACTCTACTTTTGCAGTGAGTTTGCTTGCGGTGGCCTTCTCGGAGGCTTGGGGCAATTCGGTTTGGGGAGCTGGTGAGTGCCTTTCGGGCAGGTGTTGGGGGTTCTACACTCGGTTGTCGAACCTCAGTCGGTTAAGGTAACGATTCGGTAGGGTTGTTCAAGAATGGATGTGTCTGGTAAAGGAGGTTTGGTAAAGCTATATTCCCTGCCGGGGTCAGGGGTACGCCCGGCGTTAAGCGCATCATGCTACTTGGAGCTTTGCCCGGACATCCTGGGTGGCTTACTGGTAAAAGGGGACAGATCGGTGCTGTCATGATTCAATTCCGCAGGTGTTTGTTAGGAGGGGTTTGACAATGTTGGGTTTGGATCCTGGGCACTTTGGGACCCATTCTTCCCGGATAATGGCGGTAACAGAGGCGTCTAGGGAAACGTTTAGGCAGGTGGGAATCAGTACGGTTTAAGTCCTGTTTCAGGCCGGTCTATTTGGTTTAATGGCTATGGACATATGGGTTTGTGTTTGGGGCTATGCCTTGTCGCTAATTACTTTAGTTTCAGGTTTGGTGACATGGTTGGTGGGCCATTCTTATATCTAAGGGGCGCAGATGGGAGCCGCGTTTCGGTTCAAGCGCATCTGGGCTTTCCTTTGGAATTGGTGGAGCTGTAGTGGTTTTGGTTTTTCGGGGATTTTGGGGGAAGACATTAGGGGAGAAAATTTTCCGGGAGGGGTACTGTCCAGGACATTCTGGATATCGGCATGGTCCCGGAAAAGGAATTGATCAGGTGGAGGCAGAGGGAGGTGGACTGGCTATGGGAGCTGGCCACGGGTGTGGTGGTGGTGCGGTCCGAGATGGTTCCTCGGTTACATTGAAGACATACTACGTACCCGACCATGGTAGCTCGGTGATTAGGACGAATTAATACAAAATTGATGGCGGTATTTATCAGATGTGGGGGCGGTGTAACAGTGAGACACAACGAATTGGGAGGAAAGCTCCCTGGGTTGTCCAGGTGGGATGGGGTACATTTTCAGATGTAAGGTGTGATCTGTTTAAATTGGGCCTTCAGGAAGGCATTCAACAGGCCTTATTCCGGTGTGGTGGGGGTCGCTCAGGAGCTTTAGGTGTCAAGTCCTGAGCTGTGGCGGGGAATGGCCTGGTTAAATCGGAGGGTAGATGGAGGAGAAAGTGGGCATCCTGAGGTTTAGTGTGGATTGGGCAGTGTTGCCCGTCGGTGACTCTGAACCTGGGGGTGTGGTGGTGTCTTGGTACACCCTACACTGGAATTGGTGGGTGTCTTGGTACACCCCTAAAATGGATATGGTGGGTAGCGGTGTCTTGATACACCCCTACAATCGATATGGTGGGTAGCGGTGTCTCGGTACACCCCTACAATTTAACCTGGTGGAAATGTGGTCAAATTGGGCGGCTAGTTTCTGTATTAACATGTTATTTAGATTGTTATCTATTGTTATTATTGTGGGGTCATTGCTAGGGGTATGTTATGTATATGGGGGATGTTAACGTTATTAAGATTTGTTGGCAATGACCTATTATTCCTTAATTATTTTATTAATAATTTAATAAAGCTGTGGACGAATTATTTCCAACAGTATAACCTGTGTCCGTGTTTTAATGGGGGTTTGGGTAAGGTTAGGGCATATGCCGGCAAATCCGACTGTGCGCCTGTCATGATTATTACCTCATACTTTCTGTAATGTAACACAGCTTGAAGAGGCTAAGTACTACTATGTATTCACATACATGGTGTAGTGCCCTTTAACATATTAATTCTATTGTGGGGTGTTTAAGCAAATACATTTATTAATTGAACAGGTCACACACAAACATACAGTATTCAGTATTACAAGGCTATTTAAAATCTTGTATCTTGTGGGATTTAGTCACAATACCTTGTACAATACACAATACAATGCCCGCCATTGCGTCAAAGCACCCATATGTACCGGTAGATTTTTATTTTTTTTGTTTAAAAAAAAAAAATCCAAACAGGGGAGATGAACATGCTATCTTCAATGGCATCATGTTGGTTGGGAAATCAGGCATGTTGGGTTCATGGTCACCAATGGAGTAAGCTGCTAACATGATAAAAGGACTGCAACACTATTCTGCACACATCTTGTAATGAAGGATGCAATTCAGGAAGCCAACACAATGGTTCAAACTACACTCAACCACTGCTGGAGGATTACTGGGCATTTCCACTGTAGCGTGTGGGTTAGGCAACTCTTGAGGCAGCAGTAGGAGAAAAGAGGGACATCCACATGACAGGATGTCAGTACATGATGGAACTCCACTTTAAACATCCTGGAAAGAATTTTGGGGCCGCAGAGGGCAATCCATAGTCTAACTTTTCACCACTCCATTGAGAATTGACTCCCCACTGGCGCATGAGGATTGGACCGTAATAGGGCAGCTAGTGTCAGTTCTTATTCTATTTAGGGAAGTGACAGAAACCCACTTCATAAACAAGATGCATCCTTTCCATAATATGGGGAATTAGTTCCTGGTAGACTTCTGCAAGGCAAGAAAGTTTGGCTTGGCTGAAGGATTTCTACAGAAAACAAAATTTTCCTTGATGACAAAATTCTGGCCATATGTCGATTTGGCTTGGCAGAATTTCAGTATTGAAAATCCGAGCGGAATCAGACAAACTAAAAATAGGTGAAAGTGGTCCAAGCAGTGTACTGCAAGATATATATATAATATAAATACTATATAATATTTAGCAGTGTACTTCTTGGACCACTTTTTTCTGCCCTTATAGGTGGGATCAGTCTGATATGCCAATGATATAGATTCTCTTTGTAATTGCACAAGCGAGGAAAGTGAGCATTTGCGACCAAAGCAGCGA